TTACAGCCTACTACCATTTTTACGGCAGGGTATTATGCGAAATTAACTACAACGATACTGAGATATTCGCAAAACTTGGACCCCGGTCCAGATCGAACCATGATTTTCTTTTTCGAGGGCTCGTGTATGCACGCTCCTTAGAGCAATCCTGTTGACGGATGATTGCTAATGGCAGTGGTAGATGGAAAACTTTGTGAGAGAAAGGTAGATCGAGGTCGTCCGTGGCGCAATGTATAATGCGCAAGTTCCCAGCAAGGAAAATCGTGGTTCGTTCTGATCCGGGATCCGAGTTATGCGAATATCTCAGTGTCGTTGTGGTTTATTATTGTTGCTATTATTATTATTATCGTTAATAATATCGTCAATATTATGACTCTACAGTTGCTGTTAATAACTCATACCCGCTTGGCTGTCTATATTTAATAACATAAAAATTATAAAAAAAGTTACGTCGCAGTGAAAAAAAGTGCAGAGTTCCTTTTCAGCAAACAAAGGTCTGAAATAATAGTTACTGAAGACTTAGTACATAATTCGCCTGAATTTCGAAATAACAACAATGGAAGGAAGATGGCTTTTTTTAAACATCGGCGACAATACTGCTCGAACGTGTCTCATGAGTGGCTGGAAACACCTAGACCACTCAAGCCTAAATTGGAGAGATTTCAGCACTAAGCTTCTAAGAGCGCGGGTAATGCAGTGATGGAGATGTAGGCCAGTACGTGCAAGGCTTGGTTGGACAACGCACAGCTCTATTTGGAGCTGAAATTTAGGTGTCAGTCTTGTCTACGGTGACCCTTCCAACGTTGCTGTGCAAGGATTTGAAAAAAAAATCGAGCGGACCGTGACAATCACGAAGAAGACGACAATCCTCATGCAGCAACAAACCCAATTCATAAAATTTAAAGATGTTTGCGCCAATTTGATTCGCGGAAATGAGTCGAATGAAGGAATTGCTGGTCTCCACAATACGGGATGTCGAGCTTTGCTAGGAAAAGAAGAAGAGAGAAGCTGTAAAATCTACAAATTCGTTGCCAGAAGAACATATTCTTGGATTGAAGACATTAGAAAACGTTGGTCGAATAAACATCCTTTTCAAACTCTTGTTAGTTTAACAACTAAGTAAGAGACAAATTCCGCAGTCCACCTTTCCAATAACGGAAGAAATTCTGTCACAATAAAATTCCGACCTTCTTGTACTCACAGGCCGTCTTTCTCCTTGTTTTACTTTTTCCGTTAAGACTCGTATCTGGAGCAGCGAAGAATATTCATCGCTTCGCGATGGCTCAGGCGGTGATCCAAGAAGCGTTCACCACTTACAGAAACCAGATCGAAATCAAGTCGAACTAGAAGTGGTTGTCATCGTCGCTAAATCGGGCGAAATGCCACTCACAGTTCATCGTTTAAAAAAAGCGACGAGGTCATCTTCGCCATAAAATCTTTTAGATTTTAAATAGAAGCTTTTAGTTAGCTTAAGATCAACAACCAGCATTTTTCCTCACCTTACTTATAGCACACACGTCATCGTATTTAAAGGTAGAAGAGGAGCGTAAGATGAAGGTGGAGCTTCTTGCTTCATTTCCATGAAGACTATCTTGGTTTGCATTTAGAACTTGGATGAAACCCAATATATAGACTAAACTAGACCTTCTAATGGATGTAGTTGCCTCTAACACTTTCAGACGATCTTAAAAGTCATAGTCTGAAGTAGCACCTTAGGGTCCAATGAGGATGAAGCCCAATTAAAGAATAATACTAAGTGTAAACAGGAAATTTTGTTTGAATGGATCACCGATTGAGAAGATCACATTGTATCTATATCTCTAAGATTCAATATGTCACGGCTATGGAAATGGATTCAGTAAAGGGTAAAGAGCAGCATGTTTTTTCATGGCAGCTCTAATCAGGTTCACTGGTACCATTGCTAATCTCAGCATACGTTCACAATTAAATAAAGCAACGATTCTTCTTAAGGTATGCTTGAAAGCAAAAATATGAGCTGACTCCTAATTCAAATCAGATGAAAACGACCCAGTGGACTCAACTTCAAGACGGTTTTTTCAGTTCAGGTCTTCATGAAGTAATAACGCTTTGGAGCCAAAGTGGAAAACGTTTCAAGAATTAAGCGATTTGGGAGGACTACTAAGGAAAGCACTAAATTAGCTTCCGAGAATGGAAAATTGACTTTGAAGACGGGTAAAAAGGTATGCTGTTGTGTTCGTTTCAGACAAATCCAACCGCATTCACAGCTGAAATGAAATTTCGGATTACCAAATCGCAGCCGAAGTCATAAAGATGTAGGACCATCTCAATTCGTAATCTGTTGGAAAAAATAAAACGAATGACAAAAGTGGTTGAGGTAGCATAGCATTCGAAGGTTGATAATCTAAGAAGCTTAGTACCTAAGCATAACACTACGGTGTCTTAGTTCTATAAAAAAAAAGCTCTCGGCGTTGATCAATCCCTGAGGAATGCGCCATGCATTCGACTTCATTAAGCATCGTCGGAGGTGATTGAATGCATATCTGACCTCGCGGTGAGTTACCGATGTATCGGGCCAGTGTTACTGTCCTCCCAGACGTCTAGCATCAATTTGCCGACCCTGAAGGGATAGAAGGCTTGGTGAGCCTGGGGAGCAGGGATCGATTCTAAGTGTGTTGCAGAGTGCCTCCGACCACTGCGCTACATGCGCCACTTTTTTTTAGCTTTATAGGTATTATTAATAGTGAAATTTCTTCCTTAATTGCTTGGTATACTCAAACACAGCTCCAGAATATCGTGCGTAAGTCTAAAAGAAACGCAAAAAGTAGGAAACGAAAATCCTTCAAAACGCACAAAGTCTTGGACCTCCAAGTAGCTCATTTCAATGTGCAAATTTTAAGAACGTAGGCATGTTTGGTAAAGATATAGAAAGTGTTAGATATCTAGCTATTGTGGTTAAATGGTTCATTTTTTGAAGATGTAACAGCATTTCTTTTGCCACTACTTTCATTCTTTTTGTTACCTTACTACCATCGTCACATTGGTAATCGTTTGTGCTTCTCTTTAGGTTTTCTTGTGACTTTTCAATCTGTCATTTTCTCCACCGTTTGGAATTTTGAATTCTGATCGACCTTGGATTTTTTCAAACCTGAAATGGCCGAGCTAGGGAGATCTTAGGTACTCATCAAAAATGTCACGATAATGGAAATCTGTGCTTTGAAAACGAATAGAACAAATTTCGGGAAACAGTGTTTATTCACGGCCTTACTGCAAGAGAAAACTTAATTTTATCACAAGAGTACACTGAAGGCGTGGTGCCGCTGGGTTCCTCACCACGCAAGCTGAGCAGTGGTGACGACGACGATGCTTAGCAATGTGAAGATGTTCGTTAGATTCATTGTTCTGGAATTGAAATTGAGTAGTGAGTAGGTGATTTTGTCACTTTAAAGATGTGCGTGTTCGATAAATTACCACTGTTGATAGCTGAGGCTGAGATTTTTACAGAGCAAAAAAGAGGAAACTCGGGTTACATTCTCAGATGACAAATTTGGAAAAACTCGACGTGCAGCAAAAAAAAATGAAGGAAAGCGGAAAATGTTAACGACAAGAGACTTCTCTTTATGGTCAAACAAGTAACATAAAAAGAATTTTAAAGGTAAAACGAGTAGCTCAGTAGACAAGTGGCTATGATTTTTAAGTGTACCAACCGGTTTCACCTAAGTCGACTCTTCTCTGGAGAAGAAGGCTACACAACTTGTGTTAAGTGAACATATAACTTGAAATTTTGTGGTTATGACGATTTTCTTAAGTTGCTCTGCAAAAACTTTTTGCCAGGAACTGCGGTATCAACTATTTTGCGAGTGAGAAAAATTCTCAGTCATAGGAATGCCAAAAAAGCACCAGAATAGTTATAAACTGCTTCGTTTAGACTAAAGTTGAAATAATTTCGGTACTTGAAGTTCGCCTTATTACTTACGGCCTATTGTTTTTCCGTGGCAGGGTATTATGTGAAATACAATCAAAATGACATTGAGATAGTTGCGAAAGTCAGAGCCTCAGGCCAACTTCGAGCCCCCGATTACCCTTTACGTGTGCTCTCGCCTTATAAACTGTACCGCCGAGGTCGTTGCTATCACATTCTCTCTGCCAATTTTTCATTCTAACGGTGCCATGAGCAATCAACCGTCATCCGTATTTCGCGTAACACCCTATCATGAAAAAATAATTGGCAGTTAACAAAAAATTAAACGTTGTGGTTTCAGATTACAGCTTGGCTGAGTTTATTGCCTATTTGTGTTCGCCAGATCATTCCCGCTGACGGCTTATTGCTGCTAGCACCGATCCGATGGAGTAAACATGGTTGAGAGAAAGGCAAAGCAAGGGTCTCGGTGGTGCAGTAGGCAACAGTGAGTCCCCTGAAAAGGGTAATCGTGAGTTCGAAGCTGAACTAGAGCTCCGAGTTTTGCAAAGACCTCAGTATCATTGTGGTTGCACTTCTGTTCTAGTTTAACAAGAAATAGTGTGGTTCCTAATGAACACAGGCAATTCTCGCACAACAGACGTTACTGGTTGATTAGTCAATGGAACTCCGTCTTCGGCTCAAGAGGATGTGAAGTGGGTGTCTCCTGATGGCACTCGGCCAATCACGCCCCAGTGGGTGGTGCTAGTATAATCACCTGCTTTCCCGTCAAATTTTTTCCATTAAATTTATCCTTGCTTTCTCATTTTCTTATTTACGGGTATTTTTCGCTTAGAATTTTAATAATTTGAGATAAGGGTAGCTAAAAATTATATCGATGAGTCTCTCAAAAAACTGGAATGCTATCCAACTTCGTAAAGAATAGGCTTCAAATCGCACTAAAGCTCTCAAAATGAAAGGATTACTTTTCATTTCTGGTGTCCTGACTACGGTATTTTCAAAGAGAATCTTCCAAAATGAGTGGTTTGACGAGCACTTGAAAAATGGAAAATTTCTTATTGTTTAAGAAATATTAATAGTTTCATTATATAAAAACACAAGCCTACCCAGTAGCATTCACAACAGGGCTTCGGATCTTTCTACGAATATCGGCAAGTCGATTAGCGTTCTCTTTCAACGACGCATCACATTTAGTGACCCATTTCTGCAGTCGTTTCATCATCGGAAGCTCGTCTTCAGAAAATCTGTAAGCGTAGGAAAAATAAGAAAAAAATTAGAATTTTAGTGATGCTCACACCATTTTTTTAAACTCTGGTGACGTCACTGAAGTAACCGTTACGCTCTCTAACATATGGACAGGTTCCTCTGTGACAAAGATAGTAATCGATTTCAACAAAAGAATAATCTAAGGGTCAATTTCTAGTCGGAAGTGCGTTAGTTCTATTTTTAAACTTTTTCCTCCAAGTATTGGAAGGAAAGAAAAATATTTTAATAGAGAGATAAAGAGAAACAGAAAAAGGAAAAAAATTTTAGGAAACTTGAAAAGTTAACTAAAAGAAGGAAGTATATGGCCCAGGTGCTGGCTTATGTTATAAAACGCCTAATTCTTTCTGAGTTCTTCGATAGTTGCTTAAGAATTTTTCTTAATCTTTATGCTTTGTCTTTGTAAGCTTTTTAAGGTGATAAGATATTGATAACGTGAAGCATACTTGAGTGGAAATCCCATCACGACCAGCATATTCGGCTCATAGAAGCAAATTTGAATTGACTCCGATAGCTGGAAATAAATATTCGTAAACCGAAAAAATTGCTTCAATCATAAAATAGCGATTACTGGAGCGGAAAAGAGAAAGAGCTCCGCGCTGGAAAGAGTACTTCATATTTCGCTAGCGCCTTAGAGGGCTTTTATGATCTAGTTGGATAAAGTAATAAAACATCGTGAAAAGATGAACGCGTAGTAATGCATCTGGAGGTTGTATAGCAAACAGAAGAAAGTAGAAAGAGTTCCCAGGATCGACTTTCTATTAACCTCGGCATAGGAATATGAAAAATGTGAAAAGTTTGTTCTAGTAAATTGTATATCAGTATATCCTTCCAGGCTGTGAAGAAGGCGATACTGCCGAAACGTCAGCTACTGTTGTATTGTATTGTGTGCTTTTCTATGGAAGTAAATGTATGCTGTATAGCAACCTTTCGATTGCTAAAAAAGTGCAAAGAATGAGACGCGGGAAGCCCTGCGGTTACAAACCTAATGCAACAGCGGCATGGCCGTTAGATCTACCCAGCGTTGGGGCAGCCGAGCAGCGTATCGCTAAGAAGTGAGCTAATTTGTACTAGTTTTTGGTGACGAGACTTCCCTCCATTGTACAATGATCGGCAACTGGCTAACATGAGAGTTAAAAGCACCATAGTGGAGCTGTCAGAGAATTTTGTCTACTTACTGTCAGTAGAAAGAGAAAATCGGTCAGCAAGGAGGCTAAAGGGTGGAATATGGACGGCAGTGAACTTCGCTGTATCGTTGCATGCGCACCAATAAATTGTAAAAGCATCTAAATTTGGGATGAAGCTTGTGACCGAGGTCAGGTTGATTGTACGAATATCATGGACGAGGTTACATTAGCTCAGAGCGATCGCATCAAAAATCAAATTCTGTGGGAACACCGACGGAATCGAAGAAAAACTACTTCGGAGGTCTATAGAGGTATCAAATGACACTTTTTAATAAATAAACTAAAAATTTCACTGCAAAATATGATGCTCATCGTCTTTCGTGAAAAGTCGGACCAAATGGGAGGCTTTAGCAGGGAAGGATTTTTATGTTACCTGTTCTATTCTTTTGATAATTGAAGTGGTCGCAGACAATTTTACTTACTTGACACTTGTACGACCCGTCCTCACTGGTTGTGCGGGCCCCGGCATAATCAACATTGTTCGGAGATTTGCTAGCTAAGCCATTGTGGTTCTCTGGAATCCCGAGGTCAGCCTAGCTAAAGAAGTCTGCACAGGTCTTCACCACCACAGGTCACCATGCGACTTTGATACCAGGACGGCGGTGGATCTTGGTATTGGTTTACTCTTAGCTAGACTTTTTGATGGGAACGCCGGACTCCTTCTCAGCTTGGTGGACCCTGTCGGGGAGACGAATCTCATCGCTGTACATCGCAGTCCGACACCCAGGAATACCTCCTAGCCACAATGAGGCGGTAAACCGTTGTGAGGACAAACGATATTTGTTTTAGCAATTCAAGTATACCTAAAAACAAGCATTTTTATGTTGTACATCTATGTTTTAAAAAGCACTAATTTTATAAAGGGCGCGTGTGGTGCAGTGGTCGGAGCAGCCCTGCAACACACACGTGGAATCGATCCCGGCGCCCGTGGCCCACCAAGCTTTCCATCTCTCCTGGGTTGGCAAATTGGTACCAGACTTGTCTGGGAGGTTATTAGCACTGGCTCCATGCATCGGTAGGCCACCGCGAGTTATTGTAAAGGCCAGATATACATTCAATCACCTCCAGCGCTACTTTATGAAATCGAATGCATGGCGCATCCCTCAGGGATTGATCAAGGCCGAGAGTTTTATCCCTCTTCTATATCTATATTTTACCTCTCATCTATATGACACTTTCATAAGCACTTTTTCTTAAGATGCAGTTCTTGTTGACATTCCAAGATGGTAGTTTGGAAAGCTCGTCGTAGATTCGCATTCCCGGTTTTTAAGCACAAATAACTTTTCGAACAGGTAGGAAACGATGGTGGGAAATGTGTAATTTAACTTCATCGAGTAATCTATCACTATCTCACCTTGCAGTAACCTCTGACGGATTCGGCGCAAGCAAAATGATTCCATGGTTGGCTCAACTTTTCGATGATTTTGTCAGTAACGAAGATCCTTCAAGCACGAATATTTTAAGATTGAAAATGCTATGGGGCACATATATTATTAGTTATTTAATACAGGAAGAAGTTGTTTTAGCAAAAAGTATTATAAACCTGCATTTTAATGTGCCTCAAGTCAAAAAATATCGTCTAAGATACCCGTTCTAATAAGTAACCAGTGCTATTCTTTTGTGCAACTGGCTCTACTGCTATTCGTTGCCTACTGAACTGGGTGAGGTCACTGCTCAGCAACCGATGATAGACGGGCGACGATATCGGCTACGGAGCAGTTATATCTCGTGCTATCGCAGTTATTGATCCAAAAATTCCAAAAGCTTCTGGAGTGATATGTCAGAGTAGTTGAAATTTTAAGGATGAAGAGAAAAAACGCAGAACATTTCGCTGTGTCCATCCTCTGCCGTCTCTTCGGTGTCCTGATATTCATCTACAGACGACGGCTCAGAGTTTGCGGCTACTGCCACTTTATTCTTTGCTTTACCTGAAATTAAAAAAGCATCAACTAGCCATCTAAACATAAAAGTAATAAAATGCAAAACAAATGATGGTCTTGAATGCATCGTTGCTCAATAACTTATATTTGCAAGCAATAAGCGATTTTTCACTAATGAATTTTCCAACCGGAAAGTTGAGCAGCGGCAGAGGATCACCTTACACTCATTGTGGAAATTCGGAAATCCATATGAAAATCATCATTAACAGCAAAAATTTTTTACAAGGGCTATTTAGCTTATCTGTCTTGGGCGCGTGTCGCGCAGTGGTCAAGGGCGCCCTGCAACACACGTGGAATCGATCCCGGCGCCCGTGGCCCACCAAACTTTCCATCTCTCCTGGGTTGGCAAATTGGTACCAGACTTGTCTGGGAGGGTAGAAGAACTGGTTCGATGCATCGACAGACCACAGCGAGTCATTGTAAAGCCCAGATATGCATTCAATCACCTCCAAAGGATGCCTAATGAAGTCGAATGCATGGAGCATTCCTCAACGTTGTGATTAAATTCTTTCTGCTATTAAAGTGGAATTTCATTGAAAGTTGTCATGAAAACGAATTTAATGCAGTTGATAGAAGATAGAGAAGTGAAGAGCAAGTAATTCATCATGTATAAAAGCCAAAACACATCGTTAGGGTACTTACTCTACGAAACGTAGGTAGGCATATCGTAGGGAACAAAAGTTTATCTAGATAATTTACTGGACCCAGGCTTCACGACTCCTCCAGGAATTAAGACATGTTCCATTCGTTACTTTCCTTCAAGGTGGTCATAAATGGTGGCAGTGTGCTTCTAGTATTGTGACGTCTGCCAGATTCCTCCATGAGATGACGCTGATTTCTAGATGCGAAAACAGTTAGTTACCAGGACGTGGAACAGAGTCATCCATGTTGGATGGTTTCCCTAGTGGACCTCTGCTTTCTTATGAGAGCCATTCCTTAGGTTTCCTGGCCCATCCGTCGGCATTTCTTCGCGTCACATAATCAGCCAATTTGTGCTTCGCTCTTCGAGGTATATTTCTTTGCTGACGTCAGGCACAAGGCAATCTTTGGTAAATCGAAGTGTGCAGTCCAGTTCGTTATAGATAAATTGCTTAGTTTTTTCGGTGATTGCCATTTGTCAGCGGTGTAGGATCGTTGTTGATGTTCCACAGGAAATAAATGCACTCTTCATTTTCGCGATGGTAGGACGAACTTAATGTTTCTCAACAGCAGCTCTGGATTACTGTAAGCCTAGGCATACCGCAGGACTTCCTCAAGGTACAGCCGACATAATTAAGAGCCAAATGATTTCTCACCTCAAAACACTCGGAACTCGGAACTGGCTCAATTTCGAAATTTGTAAGTTTCGCTACCGATTTGCAAAAATTCTTCACTACAACGACAGGCAGGAAACCCATGCAACGTTAGTACCATCTCCTCACCACAAACAGTAGCACTCAGTTATGCAAAAAGGAGCTTTTGGCCTGATTCTCACCTGGGCAGTTAACACTTTTGGCGTTGATTTATTTTCACTTAGAATTCCGAATGAAAATGCCGTTATGCTTTTGATGTCCTTACCAGAGATTGAACTTTTCTACGTTGTTGTTTAGCGAAAGGTAAACTAAGAAAACCATTAAGCAAGGAGAAAACCCTGCAGAGTAAAAACCATTGAAGAATTAAAGCACTTTCCATAAAAGGAACAGTGGCGTTTGGACTTACTGATAACAGAGCATATTAAAGTAGAAGTTTCCAGAGCGATTTTTACTACCATTTACAAGAGGAGTTCAAAGACATATGGAGAGTTGAACGTCGCACAAAAATAAACGAAAGATTCTTGCTAGCTAAGGTACAGGAGTTTCGCAGCTCATTATTTCATTATTTTCACTAGAAATCCCCTATAAAGGTAAGCCAATCACTGGGCACGAAATGAATTCCTAACAGAGCTGAGAAGATCCTACAAATAAAAATAGGTATGAAATTTTATTTTGTACTTGTAATTGGTTAACTTACTGTCAGCCAATGATGATCGGCTGCCGCCGCTGCTGCTGCTCTTCTCGGTAACGTTTTCATCAAGTACGCCGTACGCACCAATGAGTGCTATTAACAACGATAAAGAATGAATAAATTTCATAACTGTCGAAGGATGACGGCAGTAGCGCTTAAGACTGCTGCGCTACAGTAATGCTAATGTTAATGTATCTCAAGCAACGCCGGAATATAAATGTTTCATCGCTAACTTACTGACTCAGTATATATGGTCTGTGTGATGCCCACATTTTCTCGTCGTGAATGGACTGACAGAATTTCTAATGAACAGAAGCCGTTCGTCGAATCGAATCAACAAGGACTGAAATATACAACTACTACGACGATCTAGTCGATTTCTGCCACAGATCAAGCAAACTTCCATCAGTCGGCACATTCGCATTTCATAATGAACTCGTCTTTCAGTGAGAGAACATGCGACAATGGCTTCATTTATCGCTCATTATTTTGGCCTAAGGCGAAGATAGAAAACAAAGTGCGGGGCCTAGACTAATCCTTTAGGTAGATGAGCCATGCATTCGACTCTATTCGTGCCACCATTGTGTTTACTGGAGGCATATTTGGCCTATGCCATAACCTGCCAGAGCTTAGCGATGTAGCAGAAGCTGGTGATTTTGTCGTCTCAGAGAAGTCGGGTGCCGAACCTGTACGGATGGCGAGCTCACTTCGTCAAGGAAGATGAACGCAACGCAGATGCTTTTAGTTTAGAACCTAAATTAATTTAAACTGGGCAAAATTAATTATTACCTTCTACCATAAAAAGGCACCGTTGAGTGAGATTGTTCATTTTATCGGTACTCCCTCCACTGAATTTGACTCGATGCGATAACGAACAACCACATCGTGAGGAGAGCACCTGAAGACCATTGACTCGGATCAGTACAGCACCGAAGAAAAAGACACCGAAGCGTTAGCTGAGTAGATGGTTTTATCAGCCCAATGCTAGCTTAATAACGAAAGAGGGTATTGACTATGTGCCTATTACAAAACACACTTCCATCCACTATCTTATATCGATGAAAGAGCTAACAATGAACGAAAACTCCATGGAATCCAGCGTTCTAACTCATCAAAACAAGGTTTATGCCTACTGAAATCGTTTGTTCGGTCCTCACGTTAGACCAAGTGAACCTACTTTTGACCCAGGATTTAGTAGTTGGTAACGAGTTCCAGTTGTGTGGAAACACTTGCCAACACGTTCTTCTCGTCGATGGCATAACAGAATTTCCAATGAGTGGACACACAGTTTAGTTCCACATGTAACTGTACAGTTCAATTCCACTATCATCGGTTTGGTGAATCTCAACTGCTCATAGGTAGGACGATGTTGATCAAATTCTGAACATCAGCCCTTTGCTATAAACTAGTTACTATATTAGCTCACCATTTTCTTAAAACCATTACTTACATAACTTTATGAGGAACTGACTGTGTTAAATGTAGTGTTCTGCTCTAAAACGCACTGTGAAGATGAAAAATCGTTTGTTACATTAGAGGTTCATAACTACTTGCTTTGCTTTTCCATCAGAGGGTAAGATGTCGCTGGTCGCAATCCGCTTCAGAGAGGTCAAGCCATGGCCGAAAAGTTGAAAAACCATGGCACAGAACCAATGTTAACAATTATGGTTTTCTTTGAAGAAAGTTGTTATATAGCATACATTTACTTCCATAGAAAACACAATACAATACAACAGTAGCTGACGTTTCGGCAGTATCGCCTTCTTCAGAGCCTGGAAGGGTATACTGATATACAATCTACCAGGCCAAACGCTTCAGTGACACTTACAAAAAGACGAAAAACTCTATGGTAATTACATGATCAACAGCTTCTCGAAAAACTCACCGCTTTTATGTGACTTCCACTGAGGAAGATTAGAACAGCCCATTATAGTCGCACATGGTTGATAACTGCACCATCCCACGTCAGAAATTGATGCGAACATACGGGGTCAGGTCGCGTATGACCTCTGGGCATTCATCCCTGCTACTCATTGCAGGGTTTTTGGCATTTATCTAAAAAGCCTCGAGAAGTTTTCGCGCTGGTGTTTTAGACTCCTGTGCAAGAATATTGACTTTTACTTCAAAATCGTCTCCGCTATGCTTCTGTACTCTATGCGTACCCAGTGGGGTACTTCGTCTTAGTTTTTGTTTGCCATCTAGGTGTTCTTTTACACGGGTACACAAAGGTCTACTCGTATCGCCAATATATTCATCTCCGCAATCATTATAAGGAATCATGTATATCGTACCTGAACTCATGCAATCACCGCCCCTGCTGTGAGGACAAACTACACAGTTTGTTGTTTCACGTAGAGGGTCATACAGGCGGTTACGAACTAACTGACGACGTAGAGTAGCCGGTGGTATTTCAACTATCGATACCGATTCTTCTAGACCTGCCCTTCTTAAGCATCGTTTTATAACTACGCTTAGCTCATCGCTTATAAAAAGCAACATAAACGGGACCTTCTTTTGGCCAAGTGTTTCGTTTTAGGGCGTCGACCCTCTTCTAAACTTGTTCGTGCGGTAACTTTTTCGTAGTCATTGGAGGTGGTTATTCGCCAAGCCAAGTGGCGCGATTCTTCCTTTAGTTCTCTGGTTGTGAACACAGAAGTGGCTATGCGAAGCATGTTTCTCACAAGCGCTTTCTTTGTGTGTGAAGTGTGGGAAGAGAGGAAATGAACGAGGATGTTTTCGTTACTTGGTTTTCGGTACCACTTTGTCATGTAACCGCTACTTGATAAGTTGATTCGAAAGTTAAGAAATAGAAGGCAGGTCTCTTTCGGTTTCTTCCAGGTGAATTTAATATACTCAAACTGCTCATTCAATAATTGAAACCATTTGTCCATCTCCTCCTGAGTACAGAAGATGACAAAACAATCATCTGTACAACTGCAGTAGAGTAGTGGCCGGAGATCGATAACCGGGTCTTCTATTTTAGACATGAACGCAAGGGCCATAGTTGGTACCAATCGCTGTCCCATTACCAGCCCTCTAATTTGTGCATAATAATTCCCACAGCATCTGAAAATCGAGCAGTTTAGGCACTCTTATAGGTGAACCATAAGCTGCTGAATAGACAAGCCATGCACATGTTTTCCTCCTTCATGTTCAACAACAAGTTTGTGGATGACTTGCATTGCGGAGTCATTCGATGCGTTGGTGTAAAGCCCGGAAATGTCGAATGACTCTATCACGTACGCGCTCTTAGGAGACGCGTCACGTAGACGTTCTAGGAGCATTTGGGTGTTCGTGAGGTGACCTGGAATATGGCTAAACGGTTGGGTAAGTATTCGGCCTAGAAACCATGTTATTCTATCCGTTGGACCGTCTACAGGGCTGATAATGGGTCTAACCTTGTAGGATAGTGGATTGGTAGACGCGAGATCATCAGCTAATACTAACTTATGTGTTTTAATAGGTAAGTATAAAATGGGACATGTTCGTCGAGCTGCTTTATAATGCGAAATAACGGATGGTTTTAAGCCGTCTTTGCAACTGTGAACCATTCATTGCTAACTTTTCAGTATTGCTTTTGTATTCCTTTTCAGAAGAGTGCGTGTGACACAGTGGTTGGAGGTGCCACTGCGACACACACGTGAAATCGATCCCAGCGCCCATGGCCCACCAAGCCTGCCATCCTCCCGTGGTCGGTAAATTGGTACCAGACTTGTCTAGGAGGATAGCAACACTGGCTCGATACATCGGTAGGCCACAGCAATTCATTGTAAAAGGCCAAATATGCATTCAATCACTTGCAGGGATACTTAATGAAGTCGAATGCATGGCGCATCCCTCAGAGATTGGTCAACGCCGAGAGCTTTATCCTTTATTTACGCTTCTATTCCTTTTCAGACGATGGGCGATAAAGGGTAACATCACTAAGATGTTCCTCCATTATCTTAACATCTAACTGCCGAGGAACAACTACGAACTCTTCCCCTTTATCACTAATTGATAGTCTTCTGGTCTTAGAATTTGTTAACTCTCTAATTTCTCGCATACCCCATTTTTGCGCAGCTGTGAGGTTAGACATATACTTTCTATTGCGATAGTGATTTAAGGTTTTGAGAACGTCGTCCGAAAACATGCGAAATTTCATATCAACTTCCACGTTAGGGTCATGCTGTCTAAAAACGCTCCTGGAAATGAGACGGCGGTAGTCTGGCCACTTCTTGACTTCCATTTTTATTTAATATTTCCTCCTTGGCCTGACAGCGGAGTCGATCTTGAAGCTCATACAAATTGCATGCCATCCTACCCGCGGTTGCCTTAGAAATTGGTTGCGATGGTGTAAGGTTTGGACCCAATTCTAGTAACGGGCGCACGTTCTCAAATAAGGTTCCACCTTCAAGTATGGTGACCCTGGATTTTCTCGGTTTATTGTCAACTGTATTTTGACTGCTATCAGAAACGCAAATAATTCTTTTATGGTTTCTTGAAGCCGAGATGTGTGAGTTACTCAAAAGATTCTTGAACCTTCGTTGTGGAGCTATTTTGGAATTAGACCTAATATTATTGCATATCAAAGTGAGCCACCAACTTTTTTAACTATATGATCTTATAAACTGATCTTCTTCAGCTGATACGAGGTTGGTATAGGTCTTCGCTGTCGTTGTCGTTGTTGTTGGTGTCGTTGGTCGATGGCTGACGTTTCGGCGATTTCGCCTTACTCGGAGCCGTGATGTTACGGCTGATCCACTAACTATTCTCCTCCAAAGGCAATCCTCCAAAAATATAAAGCACAAAAATGTTCCTTCGTCGCACACTTCTTCATTCTGGCGAAAATCTCGTTTTGCTTGCTTCGTAGCGCGGCTCTAAGTAGGTCCATTTCGATGCCTCGTACTTGCTGGCCGTCCTCTGGTTGACCGCATATCTCGTGAAGTCGCTTTCGTTTTATAAACTTCGATACAACTTGATGTTGAAGACAGCGGCGGAGAAAGTTGATTGCTGTCTATCTAAGGCGATGCTTTGTCTTAGTGACAGTGCTTCTTTCACAAGTGGAAAGTATTTTGCTGGTACATCTTGTAACGAATGAGTGAAAAAATGAATGCTTTCATATTCCAATGCCGCGGTTAAAAAAGT